GTCACTGAGGGTGCTGAGGTTGCAGGCGGAGGGGCCTCTGGCCACGGGAGGTGCTCTCAGGCCTGGCGCCTGCTTCCCCCGTGGGATGGAAGGCCCTGGAGAACTTTCAGGGTGTCAGATGTGGCTGGAGCTCAGGCCAGGGCAACGTGAGCCCAGCTGTCAGTGCATGGAAGCCTCAGCCATGATGGTGGGAGGCAGGGCTCAGGCAAGGGACCACCACAGGATCACACAAGGACGGAGCCTCCCAGTGGGGCTTCAGGGGACCGTGGGGGCTCTGCAGGGCTCAGGGCCACAATAGGGCCATCTTGTGCCTCTGGGGGCGCAGAACAGGTCACAGGGGTCCGCTGGGCAGAGGGGAGAGCATGTCGCGGGCCTGGGAGGCCTCTCCCACCCTGTGTGTGCTTGGGTCGGGCCCAGGGAATTGTCCCGAGGGAGGTGGAGGAGCTTACGGCAGTCCTGCACGCAGGTGCCCGTGTGTGCGCTGAAGAGGATCTGGTCCCCGGGGCAGAAGCAGCCCTCCGCCAGCCCCTCCAGTTGTGGGTTCTGGTTCCTGCAGGGCGACAAGAGAGGCCCTGGGACCTAGAGATCCAGGAGGCCTCCCGGTACTGTCATCCACGGGAGTCCCCAGGATGGGCAGTGGGGAGCGGGGAAGGAGACGAATGGGTGGAGTGCGGGACTCAGAGTGGGCGGGGCTGGGGCGGGGCTGGGCGGGGCTAAGGGTAGTCTGGGATGGGTGGGACTCGGGGGCGGGGCCAGGTGGGAATCAGGGGCCAGGCCTAGCCAGGGATGTGCCCCCTGCCTGACTCTTGTCTCTAAGGCATCTGGGAGCAGCAGGGGATGTTTTCCAAGGAGTCCTGGGCTCAGGGGCACCCCAGAGATCTGTGACTCCCAGCGGGACACGCTCTGGCCTCCTCCTGCTCCCCCCGACCTGTCAGGCAGGCCTGGGTGGTGGGGACGGCACCAGCCATCCCTGTACTCACCTGGAGTTGCAGGAGGCAGGCTGTATGGGGCCGCACGGCTTGTACACTTTGGTGGGTGGGCAGGTGAGATCTGTGGGCACAGAGAGGTGTCAGACAAGCTGAGAGGTCTGGGGAGCCCAGGGCCACCCCCACTCACCACACAGGCCACTCAGAGAGGCCGAGGAGTCTGGGGCCCAGGGCCGCCCCCACTCACCGCACAGGCCGCCGGTTGCACCTCGCCAGTCACTGCACACTCCCCGGGCGCGGCAGAGCGCTGCGTAGGCCTCCAGGCTCTGGCAGGGCACCTCGGGGCGGCCCTGGCAGCCGTCGCTGATGCAGGCATTGAAGAATGGGCCCGGGGGCACAAGGTCGTGGCACTCGGCAAAGACCCTGTGGGGCAAAGCAATCAGCACGCCTCAGCCTGGCCCCAGGGAGCTGCCTGTGTGGGGGCAGGCGGGGGCGCCCCAGGGCCTGCAACCCCCAAAGGGAGGACTCACTGGCTCAGCATCAGATCACAGAGCGGCTGCGGCGGGCACGGGCTGGGGGTGGGTGCACTAGACACCGGGGCCGGGGGACTGGCAGTGGGGGGCGTGCCGGTCGGGGCCCAGCAGCCGTCCTTTCTGCTGTCAGGGACCAACCAAGTCTTGGCCATGTCCTTACAGCTGGTGGCAGTGGTTCCGTCCCGCTGGAGACAGTCGTCCCTCTGGTTGTTGGTGCAGGTGCCTGCGGGCAGGGTGTCACTGCGGGGCTGGAATCCGGGGAGCCTTTCACAGCCCCCACCTGCCTCCCCCACTCATTCCCCTCCCCGGGCTTCCCCTATGCTCACTGGGTCGTCAGGCCCAGCAGCAGCCCTGGCCAGGGCAGGACCCGCCGCCCACTCACCGCACTGGCCCTCGGTGTTGTTGTGGAAGAGGCTGTAGGGCAGCCGGGCCTGGAAGATGTGGCCATCGAAGGTGACGCTCACACCCAGGGCAGGAATGTCCACGCGCATGGTGGTGGTCCCCGTCACAGACACAAGCACGCCATTCTTGCTGAAACCGCTGCTCACCGGAATTTGGTCAAACAGGATCTGGGGGAATCCGGGGGATCCCTGAGCTGGGAGGCAGTGCCAGGTGGGCTCGGGGAGTGGGGTTTGCCTTTGGGGCTCTGCCTCGACGTGCAGAGACCCCCCTGTATATCCCTCACCCCAAAGCCCAGATCTTCCCTGAGGGCCTGGGGTCTCCAGTCGACTGCATTTAGGCCACAAAGTGTGCTCGGCCTAAGACGGCCCCACAGGCCTTCCCTGCCCCCTGGGAGCTGTCTTGGGCACAGGGCCATCGCTGCGGCACCTGGGTCACCCGGCCTGCAGTCAGCCTGCCCAGGTGTGGTTGGGACTGGGCCAACACTGTGCCACCCGCCGCCTGGACTCACCAGGTCCTCCTCCTTCCCATGCACCGTGGTGACGGTGAGGACGATATCCATGGACTTGTAGTGGATGCTGAGGGCGCGGGAGCAGCTGGCGGCAGCGGCAGAGGCCGTGCAGTAGTGGTTGTCCAAGTAGAGGCTGAGATTCCCAAGGCGTGCGTGGATCTCTCTCATGAGGACATAGGTGCAGTTGCCCTCAAAGGTGTAAGAGGTGCCGTCAAAGGTGGAATAGTGGGAACTGCCCCACACACTGCAGATGCCTGCAGGACACAGACGGACGGGCTGGCAGGCTCCGTGGTGGTGCCCTCGCTCCCCAGGCGCCATGGCAGCCAGCGTCACCACCGTGACTGCCGCCTCGGGGAGCCACTGAAGCCCTAGGGCCTCAACTGCCTTGTCTATAAAATGGGTCCAGTATTTGCAATGGTGTCCCCCAAAATCTATGGCCACCCCAGAACCTCTGCATGTGGCTTTGCCGGGAGAAAGCGTCTTTGCAGATGGGGTTAAGGGAAGCATCTTGAAGTGACATCATCGGGGACTAGCTGGGTGGGCCCTCAATCCAATGACCAGTGTCCCCACAGGAGACAGAAGAGACACAGACAGAGAGGGGAGGCCACAGAGAGACAGAGGCGGAGATTGGAGGGATGTGGTCACAGCCAAGGGACACCTGGAGCCCCCAAAGCTGGGAGAGGCAGGAAGGACCTCCCCAGACCCTCAGCAGGGAGCGTAGCCCTGATCTCAGACTTCCAGCTCCAGGACGGAGAGTGAGTTTCTACTGTCTAAGCTCCCCAGCATTGTGGTGGTTTGGAACAGCAGCCCTGGGCCAAGGACGTGCGGAGGAGAGAGAACGCCGTCACCTCTTAGCGGCGGGTCCCGCACAGTGATGGAAGCCACTGTTAGGACCCAGGAGACAAAAGCTCCTCTGGGCTCCCACTTCCATCCTGAGCTTCTCCAGGCCCCAGAAGCCCCTGGATGGGGTCCCTTTCAAACCACACAGGCTGATGTGCAGACAAGCTCAGCAACCTGGCCTCTGCTCCCTCTCCTTTGGGCTGTGTCAGCATTTTCAGCCCTGTGGACACAGAGCCTGCACGCTAAGAGCTCACACAATGTGCACCACTGAGGCCCAAGACAGCATGGTACAAGATGGTTTCCTGAAGGGATGCCACCGATCTACCAAACACCCCCATCACGCCCCACCACCCCCGCCATGCCCTACTGCACCCCACCATGCCCCATCACACCCTACCACACCCCACTGTGCCTCACCACGCCCCGCCATGCCCCACTGTGCCCCACCGTGCCCCACCACACCCTACCACAGCCCACCATGCCTCACTATGCCCGCCACGCCCCACCATGCCCCACCATGCCCACCACGCCCCACCATGCCCACCATGCCCCACCATGCCCCCACCATGCCTGCCACGCCCCATGCCCACCACGCCCCACCATGCCCCTCTGTGCCCCACCATGCCCCATTCTGCCAGCTTGGCTGACGGCACCCTCTGCTCCACCTGCCCCCTGGGGGAGTCCCACGGCCGCCCACGCACTCACACTCGCACTCATAGTGGAAGTCACAGGGCTGGCTCGGGTCCGATACTTTGATGGGCAGGTGCTTGTTCACACAGGTGACATTGGCCACGGGCTTTGGGTCCAGCAGGGCGACACGGTTGTCACCCACGCACCTGGCCACCGTGCAGTTCTCCAGGATCCAGGTCTCATTCACCTGCAGCCGGGAACATGCACGTCCTCACCTGGACCGGCTCACGGGACCCATCCCTTGCCCATCCCACCCCTCGTGGCCCACAGCCCCAGGTGGCCACAAGAGCCTGCCTGCGGAGGGCGGCCCCCGTGCTAGCCTGGCCCCCAGACCCTGTGTGCCTCCACCAGCTAGAGCTACTGGCGGGGGGTCACTGAGTTGGGCCTCAGGGGCTGGGCACTGGCTGTGTCTCCAGCCGACCCAGACCCTGTGCACACAGCAGGGAAGATAGAGGGCAGGCAGGGCCCACCTGCCGGGGAGGGATGGCATTGTCACAGCCAGGGGCAGGGGAGGGCGAGGGCAGCAGGGTGGAGGACGCTGGTGGTGGGGAGGTGGGGCAGGTGCCCTGGAAGCGGTCGAGGTCACAGTGCTGGTTGCACACAGCATAGAATTGGCAGCCGGCTCGGTCTGTCCTATTGTAGATTACTTCCCCTGTGAAGAACAACACCGTAGGAAGATAAGCCACTCCCAGCCACCAGCAAGCCAGAGTCCTGGGGGAGCGAAGGCAGAGGCCACGCAGAAGGGAGCAGCTGCTCCTGGGAGGGACCATGGAGGGCAGAGACTGAGTGTGGCCAGTGGGGACCGGGCGTGGCCAGGGGGAGCCAAGTGAGGCCAGTGGGGAACAAGCATGGCTGGCAGGGAGAAAGCAACTGGCTCCCAGGACAAGCAGACCCAGGTTAGCATAGCGTGTGGGGAAAGGCTACAGGAGCATTATCCACGTCCACTCACCAGGTGAGAAGAACTGTCCAAATGCCCTGCAGAAGCAGGGAGTAGAGAAGTGGGAGCTGGGGAAGTGAGTGGGTCTGAGGGTGGTGAGGACTGAGGAGGACACAGTGGACACGCTGAAGGCTGGCAGGCTGCTGGGGCGCACTGCGGGGGTGTGGGTGGTCCCCAGGGTGGACGAGCTGGGAACCGTGGAGCCAGTGGCTGTGGGCCTGGTGGCCATGGTGGTCAGCACTTTGGGGGTGCCAGCTGTTCCCACAGTGGAGGAGGGGATGGCAGTAGACCTAGTGGCCATGGTTGTGGTTGCTGTAGTGGTCTGCACTGGAAGGGTGCCTGCAGTCCCTGGGCTGGAGAAAGGGGTGGCTGAGGAGCTGGGCGCTGTGGGTATGGTGGCTGTGGAGCCAGTGGCCTCAGTCGGGGTGGCTAGAGTGGTCGGCTCTGTGAGGATCCAGGTCGTCCCCGGAGTGGAGGAGGGGGTTGCTTTGGAGCTGGTGGCTGTGGGTGTGGTGGCTGTGATGGTCAACACTTTGGGAGGGTACGTTGTTCCCGGGGTGGAGGTCAGGGTGGCTGTGGAGCCCGAGGCCATGGTTGTGATGGCTGTAGTGGTCGGCTCTGTGAGGAACCAAGTTGACGCCGGAGGGGAGGAGGGCGTGGCTGTGGAGCTGGTGGCCACACTTATGGTGGCAGTGGTGGTTGGTTCTGTGTGGATCCCAGTCGTTCCCAGAGTAGAGGAGGGTATGGCCGTGGAGCCTGTGGCCACTGTTGTGATGGCTGTAGTGGTCGGCTCTGTGAGGATCCCGGTCGTCCCCAGAGTGGAGGAGGGCGTGGCCGTGGAGCTGGTGGCCACTGTTGTAATGGTTGTAGTGGTCGGCTCTGTGAGGATCCCGGTCGTCCCTGGAGTGAAGGAGGGTGTGGCTGTGGAGCCCATGGCCACTGTTGTGATGGCTGTAGTGGTTGGCTCTGTGAGGATCCTGGTTGTCCCCGGAGTGGAAGGTGTGACCGTGGAGCCCGTGGCCACTGTTGTGATGGCTGTAGTGGTCGGCTCTGTGAGGATCCCAGTCGTCCCTGGAGTGAAGGAGGGTGTGGCTGTGGAGCCCGTGGCCACTGTTGTGATGGCTGTAGTGGTCGGCTCTGTGAGGATCCTGGTTGTCCCCGGAGTGGAAGGTGTGGCCGTGGAGCCCGTGGCCACTGTCGTGATGGCTGTAGTGGTCAGCTCTGTGAGGATTGAGGTCTTCCCTGGAGTGGAGGAGGGCGTGGCCGTGGAGCCCGTGGTCACTGTTGTGATGGCTGTAGTGGTTGGCTCTGTGACGATCCCGGTCGTCCCCTGAGTGGAGGAGGGCGTGGCCGTGGAGCCCGTGGCCACAGTTATGGTGGCAGTGGTGGTTGGCTCTGTGAGGAATCCAGTCGTCCCCGGAGTGGAAGAGGGCAGGGCTGTGGAGCCTGTGGCCACTGTTGTGATGGCTGTAGTGGTCGGCTCTGTGAGGATCCAGGTCGACGCTGGAGTGGAGGAGGGCATGGCTGTGGAGCTGGTGGCCACAGTTATGGTAGCAGTGGTGGCTGGTTCTGTGCGGATCCTGGTCGTCCCCAGAGTGGAGGAGGGCATGGCTGTGGAGCTCGTGGCCACTGTTGTGATGGCTGTAGTGGTTGGCTCTGTGAGGATCCCGGTCGTCCCCGGAGTGGAGGAAGGCATGGCCGTGGACCTCATGGCCACTGTTGTGATGATTGTAGTGGTTGGCTCTGTGAGGATCCCGGTCATCCCCGGAGTGGAGGAGGGCGTGGCTGTGGAGCCCATGGTCACTGTTGTGATGGCTGTAGTGGTCGGCTCTGTGAAGATCCCAGTCGTCCCCGGAGTGGAAGGTGTGGCCGTGGAGCCCGTGGCCATTGTTGTGATGGCTGTAGTGGTCAGCTCTGTGAGGATTGAGGTCTTCCCTGGAGTGGAGGAGGGCGTGGCCGTGGACTTCGTGGCCACTGTTGTGACGGTTGTAGTGGTTGGCTCTGTGAGGATCCCAGTCGTCCCCTGAGTGGAGGAGGGCGTGGCCGTGGAGCCCGTGGTCACTGTTGTGATGGCTGTAGTGGTCGGCTCTGTGAGGATC